CTTCAACTGACACAACTGTAGATACAATTCAATAAAACAGCAGACTACACAGATAGAAAACTTACTTCAACTGACACAACTGTGGATACAATTCAATACAACAGCAGACTACACAGATAGGTCAGTTGAAGTAAGTTTTCACAACTGTAGCTGCTGTTTTATTGAATTGTATCCACAGTTGTGTCAGTTGAAGTAAGTTTTCTATCTACTGCACAGATAGAAAACTTACTTCAACTGACACAACTGTAGATACAATTAAATACAACAGCAGACTGCATAGACAGAAAACAAATAACTTATTTGAGCTATTAGAAATGAAGATACAACTCATTAAAACAGCAAACTATAAAGGTAGAAAAGAAATGACTTACTTCAACTGACATTTCTGTATAAATATTTCACTGAAACATTAAAATTTTACTGGAGAAATTACTTAACTCAACTAATTGATAAACAAAAGCAACACAAATATCCAAGCTGTCAGGTATGGAAAATTAAAATAATTCAGCAACGAACACACATTAAAATTGACACAGAAGGGGACCTAACAATATTTTACTCGTAAAATCTCACCTCACTAAACCAGTACAAAGAATTCAAGACAATTGATTTAATTTTTAAAGTACTCACACAGCACATCAGACAGTACTGTAGAGTCATATGTATAAACTAGTTGAAAGATCAAACATATTTATCAAAACAAACCCTCTCACATACAAGGCACATGCATCTCATTCCACTAACATTAACGGTTGAAAGATTTAAATTACCTCTAATGACAGGTTGGACACTAGCAGGAGCAGGTATCCACATCCAACAAGGAGCCCCATTACAGCCAGACTAACAAGCGTTCTGATCATATACACCTTCGCTTTCTTCTTATGTGTCCACAGGGAAAGCTCTGCCTTTCGGTGGTCTTGAGCAAGGCGTCCCTACGAGAAATTTGAGTAGAATACTTTATTAACACACTGCTGCCGACCTTGAAAAATGTTAAAACAACTAGAAAGATGAACATTTTATATATATTAAACCACATGACTCAATATGGTGGCAAGCTTCGCAAACAAAACACGAACTATTCAAAACTGCAGAATAATGGTACATTTTATTTTATTTAAACTAAACGATAATGAATAAAAGCAAGTTATTTCCATACTAAAATTTGTCTGTTATTTTGGTAAAATTATTTAAAAACCTGACATTTCTTTAACTAAGCCAACTTGTGCTAACTGATCGACGTTAAAATACACGGTATTTAATTTTTAAAATCTTAACTATTGTGAAACGAGTGCCATCAGAATTATCTTCGATTGATTACTGAACAGAAAGGCTCGAAATCCTGTGGTGTGAGCTACAGATTAGTAAATTGCAAAAAATTCGTCTCACAGTAATGAGAAAAGCATCATGGAGATTTAAGTGAAACTAAATATTTATGACTATTTTTCTCGATCTTTCTTGTTTTTTTGAGAGATTAAAACATTAAATTTTAAAGTAAACAATGTGAAAAACACGTACGTAGCTCTTACAAAAATATATGAAGGCTAGAACGTAAAAGAACCTGTTGTAATCCATATGCTGTTTATGTAATAAAAATCTTTTTTTACTTTTGTCACTTTATTTACTAAAGTTTATTATGCAATCTGTGGCACATAATGTCTCCCCCATCACCGCCACCACCACCATCAAAGAAAATGGTTAACATTTTAAAAATGTTGCATAGTTTAATATTCATGATCAATAAAAAAATTTATTACGCTACCTTTTTTATTTCTGAGAAATTTTAAAGTTTACGCTAAAATATATATATATATACATACAAGTGTAATTTTATCAAGGTTCTCAAATTTATATAGTTCACTTAAGTAACCATTTTCTTTCTAACACTTTATTATAGATACAATACAGTACTAATACAAGTACAACAAAAATAGAAATTATAATTAACACAAGAGCTTTTAACTCATCTAGGTTAACTACATTAAATTAAATTAATCACATTCAGAGTAAAAACTCAATTCAATATGGAGTTTTAATAATGGTTAATCACATTAAATATTTAGTATTTTATTTGATCAGATTTAAATTAAAAAATTGCTGACTAATATTACAGATTGTTGTGATTTAACTTGTTTTTTGGACTCAAGTTTCTTAATATCAGATGCTACAACTCAAACAAACCTCTGTATTTTGTTTACGAGCAACTTTCACAGACATTTACGATTTCTGTCTTCAAGAAGCAGGCTTGACAGAAAGTTAAATCACTGAAAATGGTTCCAGAGTTTCATATCTTTTCAACTTTTGCACAAAACTAATTGCTAAAACATACATTTCACAAAAAATACTTTACTTTTGTTGGTTGATTGTTACTTTAACACTTTGCTTGGACACATGTCTGCACTAACGTGTGGCAGTTTGAAACACATCAATCTATTTCTAAATCAGTGAACAGAATTCAAGCATTTGATCTAGACTGTCCAGTAAGCTGATTGGATTTTCAATTCCAGAATAATCTAAAAATGTTTACATCAATGCACTTCAGCCGAACTGAACATAACAAATAAAATAAAGAAATCTAATATCACAATTATCTTAATATGATAGTCATTAACAAGGGCATTGCATCCTTAACGCACAACTTGCACGTGCATAGATCACTCTTCTCTTGGAAAAATGTTAAAACCGAAGATGATAAAAAGAAAATGTAAAAGGTTAATAAATAAACAACTTTTTCTACAAGTATGAAACTTCTTACGGTAAAAGGCTCCCTGTTCCTCAAAAATCCTGCCAGGGGTGACACCCCCACCTACATAAGATTATTATTTTTATCTACCAGTAATTCTGAGTAAGAACTGATACCTAATAAATATTATCATGAAATTAAAAAAATTTTGGCATTCTAAAATGTTTTAAACCCTCTCCTATAAAGACACAAACCTGTGTTAACAGGTATCAACCTAAAAAGTTTTTTTTTTATTTTATAGCAAGGGTGCTAATACACAACTCTCAGGCTATGGACTTGCGTTGACCAATTGACCAGTTAATGCAATTATGATAACTGAGAACGTAATAAGAAAAATATAATTTGAGAAGTTAAAGGAACCTTAAGTTCAGGAAATCAGTGTACTGTAAATATCCTTGATTGCAGACGTGCAATAAATGCAGGTTAAATGGGTTCGATATGTTGAAAAGAAACATTAGCTAAACACAATACCTCATAATATCTTGGTTCTCACTGACCAGAGTGATCTTGACCCAATACTGAAATGCTACTTACTCCATCTTTAAATAAGATTCATTTCTTGGAAGACAGATTAATCTCCAGTTTGCTAACACTAATAATTACAAATATATATATAAGTAAACTTTCTTGTTCTATTAATACTTCTTCACAATTTACCTTTAACTCTCGAGTAATGCTGCTGTCTTGGAAGACAGATTAATCTCCAGTTTGCTAACACTAATAATTACAAATATATATATAAGTAAACTTTCTTGTTCTATTAATACTTCTTCACAATTTACCTTTAACTCTCGAGTAATGCTGCTGTGCTTCAGCTTTGCCGTCTTCTTATCTTCGATGCAGAAGTCCCAGCCAGCAAACACCATGTTACAGTACTGGTGTAGCTGGTTTTCTGATGACATTAATGCTTCCTTTACACCTTCTGTTGTGCTATTAAAAGTGTAAAATACGAAGGAACGGTAACTTTAAACTAGCCAAAACAATAGTGTTAGAGTACTGGTGAAACTGATTTTCTGATATCATTAATGTTTCTCTTACACTATACCACCTGGTGGTTAGAAGTGGAATTAGAGAATTGCCATTATGTGGAGTTTACACAGATATCAGGAAAAAAACAAATGATATATATTCTAAACTTCAGGTAAAGTGATGAAACACTCATAAATAAGTTAAACGTTAATAATTCTATGATGCATTTCACTGTTTTCAGGCTTAATATAAACCATTTGATTTATCCTCATTCTAGTAAACAACATTTCATATTATAATACATAAATACACAGCTAAGCCACAAATTACAGCAAAGAGTCATCGGGGTAAAAAAAAGCACACTTACTATTTAACCATCAACACCAGAGAAGCAAGGAAATAAGCCACAGTTGTCAACAGGTAAGCCAGTGGGATGTTATATGCCCAAGTAGTCCAAAAAGTTTAGCTTTGAAGGCTTGTAGTAGCCAGAGAATAACAGTGTTAGTTCCATCCAACCCTTGGGGATTAAAACAGGATAATTTTACTGGAAGTGACATAAAATCATGCACATTAAACACACAAGAGCTGTACTACTACTAACATCTTGGGAATAAAATCTAACTATACTTCCACATACAATAATGGTTTGGTTTGAAATTCACACAAAGCTACACAAGACTTATCTGTGCTAGCCATCCCTAATTTAGCAGTGTAAGACTAAAGGGAAGACAGCTAGTCAACACCACCCACTGCCAACTCTTGGGCTAATCTTTTACCAATGAATAATGGGATTGACCATCACATTATAACACCTCCACAGCTGAAAGGGCGAGCACGTTCGGTGATGGGAATTCGAACCTGCGACCCTCAGATTGCGAGTCGAGAGCCCAAACCACCAGCCGTGCCGGGCCTCAGATGTAATATTGATAATAGAAGCATTCACAAAATAACAAGATTTTGAGAAATCAAATTAACATCTTGCTTTAGCCATTATATTTCTTTCTAAACCATAATATCTGTTTACACTAAGTTACTTACTGTTCCTTGCAAGAAGTCTTGAAGTAGCAGGTTAAGATTGTCACTCATGGAATTTTCAACCAGCTTAGTGTAGTTTTCTGAGCAAACATCAGTCAGATTTAGTCTTTTATCTGTAAGTACGGCATATTCTAATGCACGAGCTGAAGAGTCTTTAGATGAGGAGAGCTTGAAAGCTGATCGTTTATCAACAGAACTAATTGTTGTATGATTTTCACTTTCAGCTGTTGATCCTTGATTGTTTAAGGGATCGAAGAGGATCTGAGGAAGAAGGATGAAGAAGAGTACGAGAAGAAAGATCCCAAGGTTTAAAAGCATCAACCAGCGAAGAAACAAAAAGTATGAAACAACACCAGTTCCATGATAACCTAAAAGGTATAAAATAAAAAAAAATCTATAGAGATTAAATTACAATGATGAGAGAAGAGAAATTAAAAGAAACCACAATACTGGATAAGATGCAGTTACTATGGCAACTCTCTCTAATGATCATCAATATCTTTGATTATTGTTAAGAGATGAACTATAAAAAAATTCAAAATAACAACCTATTAAAAACAATTTTCACTTCAAATAAAGAAGTTATTTTTTATAGCTCTTATTAACCAATGAGTATACAGTATCTCTACTTCTTCTGTCCCTTATAAAGAAATCAACTCGTAAGGGTATAAAAATCAACACATTTGTACAGAAACATTAGCACCAGGTGGCACACTTTATGCTGAAAGATACAATAACCCTTTATTTTGAAACAGCTGGATAAATTTACAAGGTGTGACAAAATTGGCTTGCACGGGTCAAGTTCTTGCTCTGACCGTGCATGTTTAACCATCATGGCATGTGTCTAACTGATCAAGACAGATTTTAACAATCAAATGTTTGTAGAATACTAATTGTTTTGAATGGATGTTACTCATTGCATGAGCTGCAAGAACATTATTAAACTATTATACTGAAAGAACAAATTAAGGGACCAATGATAAAACAGCCTTGTTTTATATCATGTAAACTGATTGGCCACTAGGCAAGTACTCGTGAGCACCTGCTCAGTTGATCTTTGTGCCAGACAACATGCAACAAAGGTCTTCAGTCTATTAGATTAATTTGGAACTTCAGATGCCAAAAGAACATACATAATTCAGTGTTTTTAATCTTTAAAATTTGTTCTTGAAATACAAATTTCAGACAAGTAAATCTTAGATTTGTTTGCCC